ATCACACACAGCTACATCACACACACAGCTACATCACACACACAGCTACGTCACACACAGCTATATCACCCACAGCTACATCACACACACAGCTACATCACACACAGCTACATCACACAAAGCTACGTCACACACACAGCTACATCACACACACAGCTACATCACACACAGCTCTATCACACACACCTACATCACACACATAGCTACATCACACACACAGCTACATTACACACAGCTACATCACACACAGAGAGCTGCATCATATGCACAGAATTACACATCTGGAACACTTGCACTCCCCTGCACTGGCAGGCAGACACACACACACACACACACACACACACACACACACACACACACACTCCACAGTCTGCAGCAGCAAGCACTGGGCAGAGGACTCTGTATGGGAGTGGGAAAGCAGCTGTAGGTCTCCTGATGAAGCCATTCTCTGACTGCCTACAATTCCACTAACCCTAGAAGAGGGGGAAGGAGACAGAAAGGAAGCCACTACCATGGTCACCCTGAGTCTCACAAAGTCCATCCCAGGGCAAGCTGAGGGGCTGAGCAGTGATCTGTGCAACCCTGGACAGACAGCCTGGGCCCTGGCCCCACGGCTGTGCCCCAGAGCCCGGGTGGTGAGGAGCCCCAGGCCAGCCCTGTGTGAAGCCCATCCCCGAGTCCCATCACCTGAACTGGGGACGGAGGGGTTCACACGCTGGCTGCCAGCCAGCAAGGCCTCCCCCTGCCCCGGCCCCTCCTGTGTGTCAAAGCGGCCCAGAGCAAGTCCATTTACTAAAGGAAACTTGTGAGAGGCCGGCAGCACACACGCTCCGGAGGACACTGTGAGGGCAGCCAGCGGAAGACCCCCAGCCTCTCCTGCCCTGTCTTCACAGCCCCTCCCTCTTCCCAGGTGCTTTACCGCTTTTGAACAGGCTTCCTCCTCTTCCTGCCCGCGTAGGTACACTCTGCAGGGGGGATCATGCTCACCGGCCCTGGAACAAGAAAGAGGCCGTGGTCACACGAGGGACACCTACGCATCCCGGGCAGCCAGTCGGAGCTCCAGGCAGGGAAGCCAGCTCCCTCCACCCCGGGGCCAGAGGGTGCCCCTAGAACATGACCCAGAACAAGACACAGATTTGTGAGTCGCACCCACGCTGCATCACCTTGACAAACCCTCCTGGGGGAGCCTGGAGCAGGGCACAGGAGGCTGAGCCCAGAAGCCATGGAGCAGCCGCAGACACAGGGCCCTGTGCTCTGGAGGCCTCCTGGCGCCCATGCCAGCCAGCCCGGCCGGCACCGCCACCTGCGCCTCCCTCCACCGGGTCAGACCTTGCTCTCCGCGCTGGGCACTGGGCTCCCTCCACGGCCACCTACTCCCTGTCATGAGGGCCCAGCCACAGGGTCCTTGCAGGGCAGGCACACAGCTGGCCGAGGTCCCTGAAGGAGCCCAGGCCCCAGGAGGCCGGCCGTCTGTCCTCCCCAGACCCGACAGGGACCGCCCCATCTCAGAACCTTGTCTTCTCCAGCAGCCAGAACATCTTGCAGCTTCTGCACAGCAAGCACCCAGGCTCTGAGCCAAAGGCAACGGACCCCACCTGATTGTACGTGCGTCCTGTCTGTACAGGCAGACACACACCAAATTTCTACCTATGTGTGTGATGGACCCACTATGGATAGAAACACCTGGGAAGCCAGGTGCCAATTACAGGTTCACACCTGTAATCCTAGCACCTCAGGAGCCTGAGTGCCCAAGATTCTGGTTCGAAGTCAGCCCTGACAGAAAAGTCCCAATGAGACTCTTATCTCCAATTAACCACTCAAAAACCAGAAGTAGAACTGTGGCTCATTGTGGTAGAGTGCTAGCCTTCAGCGGAAGAGCTCAGGGACAGCACTCAGGCCCTAAGTTCAAGCCCCATGCCTGACCAATATATAAATACATACATATACACATACATAAGAAGGCAGAGATAATATGATACCCTAGCCAGATTACTATAGCAGCATAGTAAGTTTTAAGGAGACTGAAGAACAAGAGATGAAACAAAAAGAGTGTCCCAAAGTAACAAAGTAATTCATATTCTAAGAAGACAGGATAAACCAAATGTGTGCATGTAACAGATGCAGAAGCTAATACAACTGAAAAAATGATCCACGGAGACATTGTTACTTCATGACAATGTAAAGGGAAGAGGTGGCTCAGTGGTAGAGCGCTTGCCTTGCATGCATGAGGCCCTGGGTTCGATTCCTCAGCACCACATAGGCAGAAAAAGCTGGAAGTGACACTGTGGCTCAAGTGGTAGAGCACTAGCCTTGAGCTGAAGAGCTGAGGGACAGCGCTCAGGCCCAGAGTTCAGGCCCCATAACCAGCAAAAAGAAAAAAGAAAAAAAGAAATCATACAAAGTACATTCTCTGACACAATGGAATTAAACTAGAAAGACTGGAAAATTCCCAAATATGTGGAAAGCAATGCACTTCTAAATAACCATGTGTCAAAGAGAAAGAATAAAAAAGATATTTTTAAATATTCCAAGCTGAATAAAAACACAAAGATTTTGAACTTTGTGAGGTACAGAATTCAGTGTTTACTAGGAAAAAAGTCACAAGTTAGTAAGCTTTCAAATGAAGTAACATTAAGAAGAGAAAGTAGACTCTAACCAAGAAGAATGGAAGCTAAGGACACTGGTGGCTTTATGCCTAAAATCTTAGCAATTCAGTAAGGTGAGATCCAGAAGACTTTGTACAAGACCAGTCTGAGTAGTCCATGATATTCCATCTCCAAAATAACAAGCACAATGTAGGATTGGAAATGTGTTTCAAGAGTTAGAGTGTCAGCCAAACAAGAAAGCCTAGCAATACAATAGAAGGCCCTGAGTTTGAACCCTGCTACTGCCAGAGGGGTGGGGGGTTGAAATAGCATAAAAAGTTATGATGCTTTAAACATAAAACAAAGAAAAATAAATGAATCCAAAAGCTGGTTCTTTTAAAACATTAACAAAACAGGCAAAGCTTTGTCCAAGAAACTGAGAAGATGCGAGCTGGTAGAATCAGGGAGAGAGGGCTTCATCACAGATCCACAGACAGGGGACAGAGAGAACACTCCTGCGACATGAGCTCTCCCCAAATGTCCGTGTGGATGCTGCAGCAGACACATGTGGGAACCCAGGGGTAGGGCACTTGATGGAGGCCCGGTGCGGCACTGTGTCTTAGGCGAGGAATGAAGCACACCGGGCTCTCGGCATCCTGAGAACTTGCAGGAACAGCCCAGCTAGCCAAGAAAACTTCTTTCCAGAAACCAACACAGCCAGAACCTTGATCTTCAACTTCCAACCTCCAGAACTGTGAGAAGCGAACGTCACTGGGTAAGCAGTCCAGACTTCAATGCTACGGCAGCCTGAGACCATACGGCAAATGACATCCTCACAAACTCAACAAGCTAAATTAAACTCACTCAAGAAAAAAAAAACAGATAACCTAGATAGTCCTGTATTCCACTAAGATGGCATATTCTACCAACAAAGAAGAAGTAAGACCAAGTCCACGATCTCTGGAAGAAACAAAACAAATGAACCATTTAATTCATGTGTGAGTTCAGCATTGCTCTGATATCAAAGCAAAGATACTATAAGAAAGGAAAGTCAGAACTGGGAAGGTGGCTCAGTGGTAGAGTGCTTGACTTGCATGCATGAGGCCCTGGGTTCGATTCCTCAGCACCACGTAAGCAGAAAAAGTCAGAAGTGGCTCACGTGGTAGAGTGCTAGCCTTGAGCTGAAGAGCTGAGGGACAGCACTCAGGACCAGAGTTCAGGCCCCACAACCGACAAAAAAAAACAAAAAAGAAAGGAAAGTCAGGGGCTGGGAAGGTGGCTCAGTGGTAGAGTGCTTGCCTTGCATGCATGATTCGATTCCTCAGCACCACATACGCAGAAAAAGCCAGAAGTGGTGCTGTGGCTCAAGTGGTAGAGCGCTAGCCTTGAGCTGCAGAGCTGAGGGACAGTGCCCAGGCCCAGAGTTCAGGCCCCACAACAGGCAAAAACAACAACAACAACAAACAAACAGGGGCTGGGAAGGTGGCTCAGTGGTAGAGCGCTTGCCTTGCATGCATGAGGCCCTGAGTTTGATTCCTCAGCACCACATAAGCAAAAAGAAAAAAAGCCAGAAGTG